TTTAGGGGTTTAAGTGTTTAGGGGTTCAGGGTTTAGGGCTTAGGGTTCGCCAGCAAGGCGCCCCAGACAGCTCTTCTCTCTAGGGCTGTCGCTTAAACAGGAATCTTTTTGGTGCAAGTTTTGTCCCCAAAAAAAGGGTCCTTCCAGGGGGGACCTGGGAGCCTCCAGCGAGCAGATTTCAGGGGCCTACTTGGAGGATCATGGGACTTAGTAAGTAGGGTTATAATTAGGGTACCTATACTTATAATCCCAGTTAGGGGACCCTAAACCCTGAACCCTAAACCCTAAACCCTAAACCCTATAACCTTACTTACTAAGTCCCATGATCCTCCAAGTAGGGGGCTCGGGGCCAGCCCTAGGGGGGAATTTGCTATACCTTCCGTCTCTGCGCTTTGAAACCAGAACCATTGCTGGCGCATATTCGGCCGGAGGCCTCTAAAATTTAGGGGTTTAGGGTTTAAGGTTTAGGGGTTTAGGGTTTAGGAGTTTAAGTGTTTAGGGGTTTAGGGTTTACGGCTTTAGGGTTTAGGCTTCAGGGGTTTAGGGTTTAGGGTTTAGGGTTTAGGGCTTAATGTTTAGGGTTAGGATTTAGGATTTCTAAAGAAATGCAATGGCCCTTTCTTTGCACGAATGCAGGTCCGGTGCCCGCCCCAGCAAGAGGGTTAACGGCATCGGATAGTTTGCGATGTAGGTTGGGTGTCTGCGGATTATGATTATACCTGATGTACTACTAAGCATATGGGTAGTTGTCAAAATTATGGTCCCTTTTGGGGTTCTTATTATAATACGACACCTATTATTTAGGTACCCCAAAAGGGACCATAATTTTGACAACTACCCATATAGAGACTACCCCTGATTCCTGAAACTCGACTCTGTCTGCGCTTAGTTGGTGCGAAACCATGAATGCTAGACTCGAAACCCCAAAAATTGCAGAATGCTTGAGTCCCAAATCTTCAACCCTGAACCCCTATATAACCCTAAACCCATAAACCCCTGATGCTGGTGTCACCAGAACCCAGAGAGCCCAAGACCCCTTCACTAAGGAATACAGCTTCAATCATAAGATGCAGCCCCTTATAAATTAAGGAATATAGCTTCAACGATAATACGAAGCCCCTTGAAAAAATAAGGAATATAGCTCTGAAGCCCCTTAGAATTTCAGGTCTATTCCATAATTAAGGGGGTATTGGGCTCTTTGGGAACCCATCAGTCTCCGGCGCATACCAGTGCGCTGAGGAACTGCCAGCCTCTGAAGCGAAGGGCTGTTGGACTTGCAAGGGTCGTCATGATGAAATAGACGGCTACGTCTACTTTTATAGGGGTTTCTTTCAAAGGGCTCCTTAAAGGGCTCCTTAAAGGGCTCTATAGAGGTTTAGGCTGTACGGGCTTATGATTGGCTTATGATGAATTAGACGGGTACTAGGCTCAGGGATTTAGTGATGCAGGGTGTGGCGTCTGGGGGTTTCGGATTGCGGGTTTTTATGTCGGAGACTGACTTTTATCCTAGTGTGGGTACTACTTATAGACTGTCGATCTTAGGGTAGGTTCTATCTGTGGACTTGGGATGGATAGCCGAGCAAGGAGTCTGGCTGATCTTGGCGGGCTGACACAGACCGCAATCGGCAGAGCATCCTACGTAATATAGGGGCCTTAATAACTAAAACAGGGTTTGGGGGTATACGATACTACAACAAATAAGGAAACCCCAAAAACCTTTTCTACTTATTAAGGCCCCTACATTACCAAAAACTGCCTATAACGGTTCCTTCAACGGCCTCCTTGGAAGGATTTCTATAAGGATTCTTTTTATGGGGGAATGCATCAAGAAGCCATAGCGGCAGTTCTTGAAACGAAAATGGTATAGGGTTTAGGGTTTAGGGCTTAGGGTTTGGGGTTTTAGGGTTTCGGGTTTGGGGTTTTAGGGTTTAGGGTGACTAATTTGGACGATGTAAAGTATTCAGGCCCGGCCGGCCATGTTACCTGTTGAGTGCCTGACTGTGGATCGAGGGCTCAGCATCGGAGCGCACAAGTTGTGAAGAAGGAGGCAGTGCCCTGCACTCTAGATTAAGGCTTCTTACTCTGACTTAACCAGAAAAGCTGAACCGAAGCAAGTTCTTATTCTATGACTCGCGATAAAAAGCTACAAAACCCAATGCCCCCCCCCGGTAAACCCTTGCAATCAAGATAATCCTCAAAAGCGCCATGGACATTTCCGAAAAACCTAATCTTGATCCCGACACTTTATCCTGAACGCTACACCCTAAAGCTCAAACCTTAAAAACAAAATTAACACCTAAACCCTAAAAGCATGTTGAAGCCTACACCCGAAATCTTGAAGCCTTCACTTCAAGACCCGAAATCTGAAGCCCAAAGCTGTGGAGCTCTTCTGCCCGAAACCATAAACTTCACACATCTTTTGCCCTAATATATTGGGGCCTTGACAGATAGAAAGGTGTTGTAGGGCCCATCCTACTATAATTCTACGAAGGAACCACCACAAAATAGTATTGGTATTTATTTAGGCCCCTACATCAGCCATAGGCTCCATAGCAGTTCCTTTTTTGAGATTAACTTATAGGATCCTGTGTATATATATATACATATATATATATATATACATATAAGAACCACCAAAAGGAACCACAATGGAGCCTGTGGGTAGAGCCGCCTAAACCCTAAACCCCTAAACCCTAAACCGCTAAACCCCCAAACCCCTAAACCCTAAGCCCCTAAAGCCCTAAACCCTAAGCCCTAAATCCCAAAATCCCAAAATCCCTAAACCCTAAATCCCTAAACCCTAAATCCCTAGACCCTAAACCCCTAAACCCCAAACCCTAATTCCCAAAGCCCGAAACCCCAAACCCTAAACCCCTAAACCCCTAACCCTAAATCCCTAAACCCTAAACCCTAACTTCCAACCGGAGAGATGAATGGTAGATTCCCAATTTACGGAACTGGTTTAGGGTTTAGGGTTTAGGGATTTAGGGTTTAGGGATTTAAGGATTTAGGGTTTAGGGTTTAAGGTATAGGCTCTGTGGGTTCTGCATTGAGGGTTCACAGGCTTTTAGAAGTCAGGGCAAACCCTCCAAAGGTGAGATGAACGTCAGACGGGAGCTGCAACGAAGCCTGGGACTCTGAGGACTCATATTTTGAGGCTTTTGGCCCAAAGGCCATGCTGTATAATATAATTAAGGCTTTTGAGCCACTTTGAGCCTTAGGGATAATATAAGGCTTTTGAGCCACGTTGAGCCTTAGGGGAGAGCTCTTATAGAATAGAAGGGATCCTTGCACGACCCCAGCCCAGGCCTAGCCCCAGCTAGGGTTTCGGGTTTAGGGTTTAGGGTTTAGGGCAAGGGGAAGTTATTCCTAAACAAGACACATATTAGCAGACTTACTCGTATACCTTATAACATAAACCCATCAACCAAGCGACACGCGCTGATGGCAGCGTTGCAGGTGATGAGGTTCCGCTCCAGTCTCCCTCAGTTTCTAGATCGTCCCCAGATCTTCCAACATACCATCATTCAGAAACTCCGTTTGTCAGAATGACGTGGGATTCTACGGTTTAGGGCTTTGGGTTCAGGGTGTTTGCATATGTACATGCATATTTATACAGAATATCTAGAGCTAGTGGAATATCTACAGAGTTAGTTGGTTATGTCTTTATACTACCTGCTCAACATGTACAAGGGTAGTTCTCTAAATTAGGGTCCTTTTTTAGGTCCCCAAGATAGTACGGTACCCTTATAAAAAGGACCCTAAAATTTGCCCTAAAAGGGACCCTAATTCGGAAAACTACCCATGTACGTGCATCGGCTTGACGCACTGGTGCCCTGGAACAGTCTCAGTTGCTTATCACTAGCATGGGTCCGTCTTCCAGTTGTCATAGCTTGATGGTCTTGGCCCTGCATTGCTGCATTGATGGTTTAAAGTTAAGCGATAGTAAGAGTCTAGGGTTCAAATAACATAGCAGCCTTAATAATCATAATACGGCCTTGGTGCAAAAAACAAGGACGCCCAAACAAGTCTGGTAGCTATTTAGGCCCCTAGAGTAGGCTCTGTCTAGAGCAGGATGAGGAGGGGGCTCGACAACGGGTTACAAGCCTCACAGCACCGGAAGCGTCGGCTCAAAACTCAGTTCCCCCAAACCCTAAACTCCTGAACCCCCTAACTCAAACCCCTACCCTAAGGGTCCAAAGGACCCGGACCCAATAATAAGATACTTAGGTTTCGGATAGTAGTCATGTAGGTTACTGTTTGGGAGAGTACCGGACCATTGGGCACTTGGACCCTTGGGGCTAAACCAGGACCCCCCAAGGGCCGTTCAATGGAGCCCTTATGGCGCTGAATAGTGAGCTGATGCCCCAAAACACTCCTAAAACCAAACCTGTAAGCCCCAAACCCTGCCTAAACCCCGTGACTCTAAACCCTAAACTCCTACACCCCATAACTCTAAAGCCTGAGCCCTAAACTCCTAAAGCCTATAAACCACTGAATTCGAGGCCTCAAGACCAAACCCACCCAATCATCTGAACTCTCGGCTGCGCAGACTTGAACCTGAAGCATGAAAGAACTTTAAACAACAGGCTCCCAACGAAGAACGGTGAACCTGAAGAGTGCAGGGCTTAGGCTTATAGGGTTTGGGGCTTTAGGGTTTTAGGGTTTAGGGTTTTAGGGTTTAGGGTTTTAGAAGTTTAGGGTTTAGGATTTTAGGGTTTATGGGCTTTAGGGCTTAGGGTTTAGGATGACCCTGCCACCCCCAGGCCTTAAAGCCTTAAGCCCTTAAACCCTCAGCCCGCGAAACCGAGCGTCTTTCGTCGAGGTCTGCGAGGAAGCTCAGGGCGAGAAGCCAGGCTCCTCCCTTCTCGCAGGCACTGATGACGGCCCCATAACTGATCCTTCGGGTTTGGGGGTTTAGGGTTTCAGGGTTTAGGGTTTAGGGTTTTGGGGTTTTAGGGTTTAGGATTTTGGGGTTTAGGGTTTTGGGGTTTTAGGGTTTATGGGGTTTAGGGCTTCAGGGTTTTCGGGTTTAGGGTTTTGGTTCTAGGGTTAAGGGTTAAGGGCTTTAGGTTTTAGGGCTTAGGGTTTAGGTTTTTTTGGGTTTAGGCTTTTAGGGTTTAGGCTTTTAGAGTTTAGGTTTGTAGGGTTTCGGGTTTGGGTAGTTCTCTACACCAGGTTCCCCTTCAGGTTCCTTTTTCATAAGGGGTGCCGTACCATAGCAGGGATCTAGAAAAGGCCCCGAATGGTAAAAACCTACCCATGTGTTTAGGGTTCCCAAAACCCTAAACGCTGAACAGCTTCCGGCTTTAGGGCTGCTATAGTAGGGATCTAGAACAGGACTGTAATTTAAAAACCGACCCATGTGTTTAGGGAACAGTTTCCGGCTTTAGGGCTTTTGTGAGGCTCATGGCTTTCGTGTTTGAAAGCCTTTATTAAGACTGTAAAGCCCTAGGAAACAGGGGCTTTAGGGGGTCTAGTCACAGGGTCTCCAGGTCATACACCCAACAGAATACAGCCCGGTTTAGGGTTTAGGGTTTAGGGTTTGTTGTCAGGAAAGGACTCTCGTAGAAAGTGCCCGGAACATGACCCGAACGCTTGGTGGCCGTACATCCGCCACAGAGTCCTATTTGGGGGTTTCTCAAAATAGGGGACCCTAATATAGTACCCTAAATAGTAGGATCCTTTATTATAAGGACCCCCAAAGTCAGGTACCCTCATTTTCGGAAACTCCCATTTGTTTGTACCAGGTGCAACAGTGTGCTGGCCCACATTTCTGGTGAGATGGAGTTGGTGTTTTGTTGAGCACATCAGGCCTAGGTGGCGTAAAAAATCAAACATCCCTATTCACTGATGTATCAAGGCAAGTTTGAAAAAATCAAGTGGCAAATTAATTAGATAAACACTTCGCCGATTACTTCTTGGGGCCCTGAATTACATAACTAAGAACAGTCTGGAGAACCATGTCACAGCGAGGACCTTGAAAGGGGCAGGAAGTTTGAGAACAACCTTTCGTGGCTCTGGAGACCTAAACCTCTAAACCCTAAACCCTAAACCCTACACCCGAAACCCAGAACTCTGCACCCTCAAAGACCCTCCGAAGCCCTAGACCTTAAGACCCTATATCTTGAACTCCAACCCTAAGGGTGCAAGGACTCATGCTTTAAGGCTTTTGGGCTGTTTTGAAGCGGTTTTGAGTTTAGGGTTTAGGGATGAATATTCCCTAACCCTAAGGCTCTAAGGACTCATACTTTCACGCTTTTGAGCCCAAAGACTCTCCTGTTTAAGGCTTGTGGGCTGTTGCTTGAGGCTTGGGGTAACAAAGAAATCATCAGAAGGAGCTAAACCCTAAACCCCAAACCCTNNNNAAACCCTCAAGCCTAAGCCCTAAACCGCCTTAAACTCCTGAACATAAACTCTACAGTCTAGACCCGAAGTCCTAAAGCACAACAAAATCCTGCTTTATCCCGCTCTTCGGTTTTAAAATAAGGGCGCCATGCACTAAAAAGGGCAAAAGGGTACTACT